TTGTTTCTTGGGTGGTGGCGGGGAAACGATGCACAAACGTCTTTATGCTGCCTGGCATCAGTGTTGACATCCCTGACCTTGCCATCTCATTACTACATTTCCCTACTTGCATCACTGGGAAGTCATGTTTCTGATTTGAGGCCTGTGTCCAAGCCGAAAACATTCGCAGCAAGCAACGGAAGCCTTCGCCGCTGGTCATGAAAGTGGGATGCCGGCATTGCTGGCTTGGTGAAATTTTGTGACAGGGATTTTTGCCGATGGCGTATATCAAATATCGCATGGATCAGATCAGTGTCTAAACCTGACCGCTGCAGCGATCGGGATTCCGTAATTCTTTGGTTGCACAGACCTGACCTGTTGCAGAGCTCGTTCTTGGCAGTGCCATCATCCTGAGGTTCATGCGTTTCTTGCGGCTGCTATACGCCTGGGCGATGCCGAAGCATCTTCGCATGTTTGAAAGGCGACAGCGGGAGTGGTTCGACATGGTTCACCAGACGAAGTCTTCCCAAGACCCTTGCAAGAAGAAGCCGAGGCAAGGGCCTCTTTACGCACTTTTCCTTTTTCCTTTGCCTTTGATCAATCGCTGTTCCAGCAAGCAGGCCAAGGGTTCTAACCCGGTCCCAGCCACGTCGCATCCTGGTGCCTTTGATGGAACCAACGGGCAAAGACCAACGAATTTGTTACATCGCTATGGTTCACCAAGTCCTTCTGTAGACCGAGCTCCAAGAACAGACCCATCAGATTCCTGGGTACAAGTGACGACACCACATGTGCCCGATGTGCCGAAGGTTGGACGCGTTCGTTTCTTTGCGGCTCCTAGCGTGACAGACATTACTCCATGAAGACATGTCATGTCAGAATCGAGCGATCCTGACTCAGCGGCCAACAAATTCTTTAAAAGATTGATCAAAGTGCTTGTCTTGGGCCCAAAGGCAGACCTTCCAATGGCTCTCAGACAGTCTTGCAGTATTGTCCTTGCTTAATCACCATGCTGCTTTCATCGCATAATTTCAAGTTCAACAGAAGCAGAAGCAGGTATCAAAACAATACATATATATATATAAATATATATATACAGTATAGTCTAGTACTGTATGGCATGCTGCAGGCCGTGGTCACTCATTGATACTCAATCGAATCCGCACTGTGGACAGCGTCCAACACCCCATGGCAAGATATTGGTTTGGCTTGCTGTTCTTATTGGTCAAGACCGCTGTTGGGGGACCAGAAAGTGAGGTGGAAGCTTTACGCAATCGCCTCCTTCCGCACCTGGTCAACGACTCATCGATGTGTGAGAGACTCCTTCACAAACTCTTTCCCAGGCCCAATCGAACCGAACACGATGGTCTCGATGGCAAAGTACCCCGCTGGTTGCCAGGCAATTTGTGGCGAAGGGCCGACTCGATTGGCATAGGCTATCCTGCAGCTTTAAAGTCCTACGTCCGGCTGCTTGCTCTATCAATTACGGGTTCTCTGGATATTACGCCCATTCACCCCATGGAACCAATGCGACGATGGTGCGGACTTGACTGGCCGCGTGAAGGCTTCTCGATGGTCGGTTTGCTCAGGCTGAGAAATGTGGCAGATCTCTTGCTTGATGTTGTGAGCAATAAGATCCCAGGCGACTTTGTCGATCTTGGGGTTTGGCGAGGTGGCATAAGCATGTTTGCTCGAGGTCTATTTAACGCACTGGAGAGCAAAGACCGACTTGTCCACTTGTTTGATGCCTTCGACTTGATGGTTCCAGACTACGAGCCGGAACAGCGGAAGCTGCTGGCGGTGAGTCCAAAGACGATCAAAGGCTGGTTTGAGATGCTTGGAATCGGCCATCAGGATGTCGTGATTCACCGAGGGTTGCTGTCGGATACGTTGCCACCATTTCATCGAAAGCACAGAAACAGCAGCTTTCAGATATCAGTTTTGCGAGTGGACGTGAATTGGTATGATCCACACCAAGATGCGCTGTACTACCTTTATGAATTTGTGCCCATTGGGGGATATGTGATTTTCGATGATGTGCGCTTGATGCCCAGAATCACCCAGTTTTGGGCGGACTTCCAACAAGATCAGGCTTTCACGGAGGAGCTCGTAGCCATTGACGCTTTCTCAGCATACTTTAGAAAGACCAAGAAAGTAACGATTGACTTTGGAAAGATGAGGACATCAAACGAATCATCGCGCGCAAAAAAGGAGTAGACTGCGACTGGAGTCTGGAATGTTTGTAGCATCTAGCCCAAATAGGACTTCGATAGTCTTGAGGCAGCCCAAACTGAGTTGACCTTTAAGTTGCACTGGAGGTGGTGCCATCAGTACGATGAGCTTCAGGAACGGCAGCTTGGCAGGAAGACCCGCATCGATTGTTTGTGGGTCTGTGTGTACTTTTCTAGTAGTCAAGGAGAGACCTGTTTGTGATTCCTCAAGATTTTTATAGGAGTTATACTAGGAAAAAACAATGCATCAAAAGCCTCAGTTCGGAAATGCCACCAATTTCTCAGGAAAGCTCAGCTCAAGACAGACCTCAAGTCCATGAAGGACTTCTTCGCATGCGTTGAGGCCGAGAAGCACAGCTATTCTTGTTCAAAGACGGGATTGCAGATTGCATGTGTGCTTCCTTGGTGCTTGGTTTTAATGCGTGTTTCCCGTCGCACGGTCTGCTGTGCGGAGTGCAGACCTTCAAAACCATGCCGGTGTTGCCACAGCAGGAGAAGGACTGCACCGCTTGAGTCCACTGAACTGTTGCACAGCAGGGTAGGATCATATATATATATATATGATATATAATTGAAGTACCCCAGATTAATCCGGGGTAGGGGGTAAATGACTCCGGGTTATTGTTGAACAATTTGGTGGTTTGGCAGCATACAGTTTTTGGGGTTAAGGTCTGAGCATTTGCACAGCAAAGAACTCCAATTTGGCTGGGACAAGGTAGCCATTGCCACGCATTAGACAAGCCTGCTCGTGCAAAAGCATGCATGTGCAACCCACAGATTTGGACCCAACATATAGGACACTGACCTTTCCTCCATTTCCTTCAATGTTCATTCCTTCGATGTTCATTGACTTTCAGGACAAGATTCTGCAAGACTTTACCCGCTTGGACATTGAAAAGAAAGGCCACGCCCTCAAGATCCTCCAGAATAAGATGTTTGGCCATTGAGTTTTTGGGTTTGTGACCGATCCCAGCTTTGCTGCAAATGTTTCGATGGAAGCTTAGAATCAAAGCACCCAACGATCTATTCATGGCAACACCACCAGCTTCTTCAAGGAGTGCCTGTGATAGGTAGTATGATCCATGATTAATATATTTTGTGAATCTAACCAGCATGACAGCAGAAGCATAAGCATGGCCCCATG